GATTATACACAGCAATAGCAGCAGTCAGAGTAACATCACTGGAACCAGTGCCCACAGAGTGACACAACAGGGAGCCTGTGATGCCCTTACACAGCAGATACCGTGTGATGCCTTTACACAAGTCAGTTTCCATTATAGTGCAGACAACCTCAGTATATAATGAGGATGGGAAACAGGACAATGGCTTCATAAATACATCCATACACTAATATGTGAGTATGTCACATCACATGTTAAAGAGGAATTGGGTTGGGGGGTTGAATGAAAGTTGCTAATCAGCTGACCTGATGATGGAGTATCCAGATAGGCCCCTCAATGTGGAAGAGGGGGACAGAAGTGCCCAAACCACAGTGATGCAAGGTCAGAAATACTCTGCCACCTTCTTTAAAGGGGGAAGGGGGAGGGAGCACTAGCCAAGGAATGCACACAGCTCTAGGGGCTGGAAAAGTTAGGAACCAAATGCTATCCCAGAATTTCCAGAAAGAAAGCCCTCCTGATAACGCTTATTTCAACTCAGTGAGATCCATTTCAGATATCTGAGCTCCAATACTGTTGCACAGTAAAATTGTGTGGTCACATATGCTTGTCACAAGAGCAGCCGAAATCTAATACATGGCAACTGTTAGCAATACTAACAATAGCAATAGCCAAAATTTTACCCTGGATAGAGGTATAAACTTCATTCCTGGAAAGGAAACACATCTGCCTTCTGCCTCAGGGGACCACATTGTGTGTTCTCCTTGGAGGTTATTTTCATGCAGTCATCATTGAAAATGCAATCTGGAGCAAAAGCTGTAAATGTCTTTGCTCAGAAATTGTCCAAAGTCTGGAGAAACCAGTGCAGAATGATCTCTGAGATCTGTGCCCTTAGGAAAGAAAGTTGATTGTTTTAAAAGTTTTACATTCTTCATGTTTAAAACAAGGCTATGGGAGTGGCCAAAGTCATGATCTTGCATAAAATCTACTTGTAGCTCCCTGTGGAAAAGGGGCATGACTCTTTGGTGCAAGTAGAGGCTGTGTTGCTCCCAGGGACTTTGCTGGCAGCAGGTTGCCCAGATTCTCAGTGAATCAAATTTTGGAGTCCCAGTGCGCACACTGAGAACATACGGTCACTGAGAAGTGGTTTTCAGTGCTTTGTTTTTTGTTTTTAATGTGTTTTCTGTTCCTTTTGGTTTTACTGTAGTACCTGAGTTTAGTTTTATTATTCAGTTAAACGGGGACAGTTTGTCTAAGCATCCTGTTGCTTATAATTTTCTAGGTGGAAAAAAAAGAAATTTAGAAATATTTTAATTTCTTCTGAATTCCATTTCAATCTATGTTTGGGGTAATTTATTTTCTTACTTTCCCTAGGCTACCGGTTAAGGGTTTCCATTCTGCCAGAAGGCTTTGAGGTGCATGCAATGGGTGGCAAATAATTAAGAAGAGGTTAATACTGGGGGCAGGTGTTTGGTTTAGAGGCTTAGATGCCCATGTCTCATTTCAGAGTGCTCAGGTTCCACACCTAGCTCCAGCCCCTGGCTCCAGATTCCTGCTCATGCAGACCCAGGGGGGCAGCAGTGATGGCTCAGCCGGTGAGTCCTTGCCACTCTTGCGGAAGACCTGGATCGAGTTCCTGGCTCCTGGCTTCAGCATGGCACAGCCTTGTCTGTTATGGGCACTGGGGAGAGTAAAGCAGCTGAAGGGAGCTCTCTCTTTCTGCCTCTCTCTTTCTCTGACTGTTTCTGTATGTTTCTCTGGCTCCCAAATAGCTAAGTAAATTTTTTTAAAAAAAGCTAATATTGTATATACCAGTGCTAATTTTGAACCTAATGTCCAACAGTGTGGCTCCACCAAGGCCACAAGGTCCAAGGTCCAAGGTCCAAGGTCCACATCACTGTGCCCTGCTGTTTTTACATGAAATCTTCTAACAACAGTAGCTCTGACTCTTTGTCTTTCCCTAGCACCTTTTGATCCAGTGTCATCTCGTAAGTTTAAAACAGGTAATAGAGGTGGGAAATACTGAATGCAACACTGGCACATTCATACTCCTGGCAGCAATCTAAAACATCTAACAGAATGTTGGCTCATGAAAAAAGAATTCTCTGCCAGGTCATTATGAAGCCACAAGTGATGCCATGCAGCTGAAGATGAGTGATATTCCTAAACAAACTGAGAATTCAGAAGTATTTAATGCTAGTCTTCTTAACATGTCTTAGAAGTATGTACCAGATCGTGCTTTGCAGGAGTCTAATATGATGTAAATTTTGTTGAAATTTATATTGATCTGTATAGAAGGCATCCTTGTGTATGTGGGTACCTTAAAAACGTTGAGGATATGCAATTACAAATCAGTTTATTGTGGTACCAAGAAATTTTGAAATCCATACATAATTTTTTTCATGGTAACACTTTAAATAACCTGTTTGGAGACCTTTCACTTTTCCATGTAGTAGTATAGCCAAGAGAGAGCTCATGAGCTTCAGAATATGCAATAATGTTAACTTGTAAGTACATATTAAATACAGTTGGGACAAAACTATCATTAAGTAATGATGTAGTTTTGGGGAGCAGTTATATCATTGAGATAAAAATGGATTGGTAGACATGTTACAATGAGAGATACAGACTGCTTAATAGCAAACGTTCCATCGTAATGGTAATGCCGCAGTGAAGTGTTCAGTGTTACATTCACATTTGAGGTCTTGTCATTCTCCAAGCAACTGTGTGGAATAGGAACCCCCTGATTGCCATTTCTCAGATCCAGACATATCTGCAGATAATACTGAATAGTTTCTCCAGGGTTTCTTTTCTTTTCTTTTTTTTTTAAGATTTTTTTATGTATTTGAAAGTCAGAGTCATAGACGGGTGGGGAGAGGGAGAGAGGAGAGAGAGAGAGAGAGAGAGAGAGGTCAATCTTTCATGTGCTGTCACTCTTCAAATGCCTAAGCAGCCAGGGCTGGGCCAAGCCAAATCCAGAAACCAAGAACTCCATCCTAGTCTCCAATATGGATGTTGGGGACCCAAGTCCTACTGCCTCCCAAGGTGTTCATTAGCAGGATACGGGATCAGAAGCAGAGTAGCAGGGATTCAAATCCAGTATGGGATGTGGGCATCTCAAGTAGCAATTTAAGCCACTGTGCCAAACTCCTGTCTCACATATTTTTTTTAAACTTTTATTTAATGAATATAAATTTCCAAAGTACGATTTATGGATTACAATGGCTTCCCCCCCATACCGTCCCTCCCACCCACAGCCCTCCCCTTTCCCACTCCCTCTCCCCTTCCATTCACATCAAGATTCATTTTCGATTATCTTAATATACAGAAGATCAGCTTAGTATACATTAAGTAAGGATTTCAACAGTTTGCTCCCACACAGAAACATAAAGTGAGGAATAATAGATGATTTTTTTTAAATGATGATGAAATCAGATCAGACCTATTGTCATGTTTAATCCCAGTGAGAGTCAAGTTGGGAGTTGATAATTTTTTTTTTTTTACAGAGGATAAGTTTAGTATGCATTAAGTAAAGATTTCAACAGTTTGCACCCCCATAGAAACACAAAGTGAAATATATTGTTTGAGTACTCGTTATAGCATTAAATCTCAATGCACAGCACATTAAGGACAGAGATCCTACATGAGGAGTAAGTGCACAGTGACTCCTGTTGTTGACTTTACCAATTGACACTCCTGTCTATGGCATCAGTAATCTCCCTATGCTCCAGTCATGAGTTCCCAAGGCTATGGAAGCCCTCCGAGTTCTCCGATTCTTATCTTGTTTAGACAAGGTCATAGTCAAAGTGGAGGTTCTCTCCTCCCTTCAGAGAAAGGTACCTCCTTTTTTGAAGACCTGTTCTTTCCACTGAGATCTCACTCACAGAGATCTTTTGCCAGAGTGTCTTGGCTTTCCATGCCTGAAATACTCTCATGGGCTTTTCAGCCAGATCCGAATGCCTTTAGGGCTGATTCTGAGGCCAGAGTGCTGTTTGGGACATCTGCCATTCTATGAGTCTGCTGAGTATCTCACTTCCCATGTTGGATCACTCTCCCCTTTATTTATTCTATCGGTTAGTGTTAGCAGGTACTAGACTTGTTTATGTGCTCCCTTTGACTCTTAGTCCTTTCATTATGATCAACTGTGAACTGAAATTGATCACTGGGAATAGTGAGGTGGCATTGGTACATGCCACCTTGATGGGATTAAATTGGAGTCCCCTGGTATGTTTCTAACTCTACCATTTGGGGCAAGTCAGCTTGAGCATGTCCCAAATTATATATCTCTTCCCTCTCTTATTCCTACTCTTATGTTAAACAGGGATCACATTTCAGTTAAATTTCAACACTTAAGAATAACTGTGTATTAATTACAGAATGAAACCAGTCATATTAAGTAGAACAGACAAAAAAACTACTAAGAGGGATAATGTATTAAGTTGTTACACTATGGGAAACGGTGACTTGATCAGCATAGCCCTGACTGTTAATGAACAACTTAATACATATTTTGTTTTCTTTCTTTTTTTTTTTTTTTAATTTTTGACAGGCAGAGTGGACAGTCAGAGAGAGAGACAGAGAGAGAAAATTCTTCCTTTGCCGTTGGTTCACCCTCCAATGGCCGCCGCTGCAGCCGCCGCACCGCGCTGATCCGATGGCAGGAGCCAGGATCTAGGTGGTTTTCCTGGTCTCCCATGGGGTGCAGGGCCCAAGCACCTGGGCCATCCTCCACTGCACTCCCTGGCCATAGCAGAGAGCTGGCCTGGAAGACGGGCAACCGGGACAGAATCCGGCACCCCGACCGGGACTAGAACCCGGTGTGCCGGCGCCGCAAGGTGGAGGATTAGCCTATTGAGCCACGGCGCCGGCTCATATTTTTTTTTCTTAACACCCACTAACTTACCCTCCAAAAGGTTTCCTAAAATAATATTGCAATCACGGACCACAACAGAGAGCTGCACCGGAAGTGGAGCAGCCGGGACTCGAACCTGCGCCCATATGGATGCAGGCGCTGCGGGCGGTGGCTTTACCCGCTCCCCCACAGCGCCGGCCCCTCCTGGGAGCCTTTCCCCGTGGGATCCAGCTGTCTGCTGCCATGCCTGGGAAAGCAGAGGGAGACGGCCCAAGGACTCAGGCCCCTGAACCCAGAGTGGAGCACCGGATACAGTCCCGGGCTTCTGCTTCGGCCTGGCCCGGTCCCGGCCTTAGTAGCCACCTGGGGGTTGAACCCCCAGAGGGACGATCTGTGAGAGAGAGCAAGAGGCAAGAGGGCTCGCGATGCCCGGTGCTCTGCTTCTCTCCCCAAGCGGCTCCAACGGCCAGCGCCGGGCCAGGCAGAAGCCAGGAGGCTTGACCTCCATTCAGGGCGCCCAGGAGGCCGGGAGGCGTGGTCCCTGGGTCACAGGCTGGAGAGGCCGCCCCGCCTGCAGCCCTGGGGCTTCGGAGGCTGGACGCGGCAGGCAGCGCGGAGGTGCGTCCCGCGGCGCCACGGCGGCCGCCCATGGGGAGTGCGCCTGCGCCCGGCGCTGTGACCCGGAAGTGGCCCCTTGTGCCCCGGAAGTGGCCCCTTGTGGCCCGCGGCGCTCAGGTAGGAGTCCTCGCGGGTCCCGTCCGCTGCTGCCGGAGAGCCCGCGCGAGCCGAGCCGTCGGGAGCCGTCCTGGACGCTGCCGGCGGAGCCTGCGGGAGACCCAGCGCCCCCGGGGTCAGGCCGGGCTCAGAGAGGCTGCGGCCCGAGGCTGCCGCGCCGTTTCCCGGGCGCGGTTCTCTTCTTCGGCCCTTCGTGGAAGCAGCGGCCTTCGCGGGCCCCTGTGCCGCCAGCAGACCGGGCCCCCTTGGCGGTGAGTGATGCGGGGGCTGTTGGGGTTTCCCGCTGCGAGTCTTCGCTGCCGGCGTGCCTGTTGCTCTCGGGTCCCGAAGGCGCGGGTGGAGTCGTGGTCTTGCTGTGCGGACGGTCGGTCTGGAACTTTCCCCAGTGTGCGAGCAGCTGTGCCAGAGCAGAGGGGCTCCGTCTCCTCCTGGAGCGGCCCCGCGTTCCCGTCTGTTTGCGTTTTGATGGCCCAGCCGCCCTGCTCGAGACCCCCGAGACTGCTGACGGGGAGGAATAAGAGCGAAAACGCTCGTCTGTTTCCTGGTCTAGGAGGACAGTTTCCGGTTAACTGGCATTTGGTGTGATGTTAGCGCTCTGTGGGTTTTCAGTGAGAGGCCATTGTCAAGCCGAGGTTTACCTTCTGTTCCTGATTTGATGATTCCTTTTTTTTTTTTTTAATATCGCCAAAGCGGTGGGAGTTTTTGTGAAATAGGTTTTCTGTGTCTATAGGGATACTTTGTGGGCTTTCCCCATGTTTATTCTGTTCTGTGATATATTGATTGTGTATGGTAGCCATCCTTGCATTCCTGGAGTTGCACCCAGCGTGCTAAGCTTTGGTTGTGCTTCAGGAGCGCGTTTGGTAATATTTTGTTAAGGAATGTGACAGCGCAGTCATGACAGATACGTATGTGCCGTTTTCTTTATGATGCATTTGTTTTGGATGTTGGGAAAATGTTGGTCCGAAGGGATGAGATGGAAGATTTTTCCCCTTTGTCTCCTTTTTGGAAGGGTTTGCAAATCACGGGTTTTAACTATCCTTCACACAGGAGTTCTGTGTTAATAGGCTAGGTGATGCATATAGTATCAAGTTCGATATAAACTCTAGTAGTTGGCCGTGATATAGTATTTTATTTATAGCTATGTCTCCCCCCCCTTTTTTTTTTTTTATGAAGTTCTTATTTGTTTATTTGAAATTCGGAGTTACATGCAGAGAGAGAGAAAGAGAAAGTAAGTCTTCCATCTGCTGGTCCTCTCCAAATTAGCGCAATGATGGGAGCTGAGCAGATCCGGAGCCAGTATTCAGGAGCCAGGGGCCCGGTGGCAGGTTCTCAGAATGGAGCACCAGATAAAGTCCCTGGCTTCTGTTTCAGCCTGGCCCAGCCCTGGCCTTTGTAGCCACCTGGGAGGAGGGCGAACCACCAGATGGACAATCACTGAGAGAGAGCAAGAGTGCTTGCGATGCCCCATGCACTGCTTCTCTCCCCAGGTGGCTTCAAAGGCCAGCGCCGGGCCAGGCAGAAGCCAGGAGGCAAGAACTCCATTCAGGACTCCCAGGAGGGAAGGAGGCAGGATCCAAGTACCTGGGCCATCAGCGGCTGCCTTCCTGGTTCCCAACCTGGAGTAGCGGGACTGGAATCGGCTCTTGGGCGCCCCACACTGGACGTAGCAGCATGCAGATGTGTCCCATGGCGCCATGGCAGCTGCCTGTGGGGAGTGAATTTGCGCCCTGCGCTGTGACCAGGAATTGTACCCGTAGGTACATCTCCTGCTCAGCCATCCTCAGATGGAAGTCTGCTCCTCATCTGTTCCTGCCCAAAAGCCTGTTCAAGTCTTGAGGAGCCGTCCTCGATGCTGCTGGCGGAGCCTGAGTGAGACCCAGTGCCTCCGGGGTCAGGCCTGAATCAGAGACACTGCAGCCCGGGACAGCCGCATCAGTTACCTTGCCCTTCTGGAAATGTGTAGGCGCGGTCCTCTTCTTGGGCAGTCTGGAAGTCTACCCCTCGGGCCTCGGCTCCTGTTCCAGAGGAGCAGAAACGCTCTTTGGTGAGTTGGGCGCGATGGCCTTGCTGTCGTCACGGGGTAGGTGGGGCCTGGGGTGCAGATAGCAGGCAAGGGGTGTGCATGTGAGGGGTGGAGGGGAGAGGAGGAGGAGAGAGGCGGCCAAGGGAGATTCGGGAGGAGAGAGGAAGGGGGGAGAAGGAAAAGGTGGCGTGAAGGTGGGGTGGCGTGGAAGGAAGGGGAAGGAAGGCGTGTGGGGCAGCGTCGAGGGAGGGCGAGTGTGACAGGAGTGCTGGTGGGCGGGTGGAGGCGGGGGTTGGGAGAGGAAGAACTTTTCCCACGGCCCGGGTTCCATTTTGGAGGTTTCCTGGCCCTGGCTGGAATCAGTCTTGGCCACGTCCGTGAGAAGCGGCCTTGACTCCCGGCCTCTCTTCTCTGGGTGGTTCTGAACTGTAATGTGTGTGCGGGAACACTGGCCTGGGGCACTCGAATCAACTCGAGGTGATCGTACTGCTGTGGCTTGAACCGACGTCTCTATGAGACTACCTGCCAAAGCAGTGTCTCCATCCTCAGCCTCTACCATGGGATCTACCTCTCCGTTTGCATTGCCTCTTAGACACACACTTGAGTGTCCTGCAGGTACCGCAGACTTCCTGTTCCATTCAAACCTGCTCCACACATTGCACTGATCTCTGTATTGGCGGCTCCATCTGACTTGCCTTCCAAGTTGGGAAGCTTGGCAGCACCCTCTTTACCAGCATCTGTCTCCTAGTAGTCACCGAATCTATGTCAGTGGTGGCTCAGGTCCTACACAAGCCCTCAGGCCGAGGCTGCCTGCTGCCAAGTCTCATTGCTCTCCGGATTCTTTCTTCCAGGCTTTTCTGCTTCAGGCCTGCATACCACCTGCATTTCCCTAGAAAGCACAGGGGACTGTCTGATCTTTTCTCATCTCCTCTTGCATACTTTCAAAAGCCCTAATCCCTTAGGGGGGCATTCCAAGGCCTTGTTCTCAGGTCTGTTCACAGCTTCCTTTTCCAAGCTGCACAGCCCCTGCTTCTGTCATGCCAGACTTGCCACTGCTCTGCAGATAGGCAGCCACTACTTGATGTTCCTCAGTGTTTTCAGCTTGAGAAAGTCGTAGCCATGTTTCAAAATATCCAACTCAAGGGTCTTCCTTCTCTGTGATACTTTTCTCTCATCCTCCCAGGCAGGGATACGTTTCCAGAACTTGCATAACACACTGCTTATCTTCGTAAAGCGCTTAACCCATTTTATCAGCATGTATTTGCTAAATACCTGTATCTCATAGAAGACTGTGAGCTTGTCCAGGGCAGGCCTTTTCTCTCTGCTTTCATTCCTGTAGTCCCTGGTACACAGTTGGTATTCAGCCTATGCAGAACTAACAATACACTCACTGGGGGTCTTGGGACAGGAACTGATGGTTTATGAAGGGTCTGGTCTCAAGAACAAGGGCACGAGGGCCAAGGAAGGAGACAGCAACAGAATCAGCATTCTTGAAGCACTTTCACTTGTCAGGGTTCTTAGTGTATCATCGTCTCATTTCTAAATAGCAGCACAAGGAGGGAAAGCAAGAGTTTTATTTAATTATACCACATTGTACTGTTTAATCCTCTTCAAAGCTCTGTGAGGAAGGCACTGCTGATCCCCTTTGAAATAGGAGGCTAAAGGAGGTGGGCACCTGTCCTAGGCCATATATCAAAAACAGTAAAGCCCCAGTTTAAAACCTGCTCTGCTGTGTCCCTCCTGGGGTTGGAACCCCAGGTTCCAGTAGTTCTAGAGGTGGCGTATCAGAGAGGTGTAGCTCATAAAAACCAGTGGTACTTTTCTTTGGGCTTGTCTTTGTATGGAGCAGAACCACAGGCACTTGTCCTATGTTACTAAGGACCCTTCTTAATAACTCTGTGGCCTCATGCTGTGATTTGTTAATATAGGTCCTGTGTCCTGGTTCCCACCAGTGGTCATCTTTCTTTGAGCTATCGGAGGAGTCTGAGGTGGACATCTTGCCACCCGGGGACTGGAACTGACTTTTGAGAGGGACCCTTAGGTATGAAAGGAGATTTGCTGGTAGGGTTAAGACCAGAGGGTTTGAGGGGTCCACAAGGTCCCTGGCGATTAGTCTTTGTTTCTTATTTCTTTACTTTTGAGAGGGACCCTTAGGTATGAAAGGAGATTTGCTGGTAGGGTTAAGACCAGAGGGTTTGAGGGGTCCACAAGGTCCCTGGCGATTAGTCTTTGTTTCTTATTTCTTTATTTCAAAGGAAGAGAGAAATATTTCATCCCTTAGTTTCCTTCCCTAGTGCCCACAACAGCTGGAACTGTATCTGAAGCCAGGGCCTGGGAACTCAATCCAAGTCTCCTATGTGAGTGGCAGGGATGGAAGTACTTGAGCCTTCACCTGCTGCCTCCCAGGGTGGATTAGCAGGAAGCTGGAATCAGGACTTCAGCCAGGACTTGATCCTGGGCACTCTAACATGGGCTGTGGGGATTCCAGCAGTGGCTTAGCCACTATACCAGAAGCCATTCCTTGATTAGTCTTCCGTTCCCTCCTTCACAGGGTGGCTGGCTGCTTGGGAGGGGTTTGCATCACCACTGCTAACAGGGCCTGCTGCATAATTTTGTGAGCGCCTTGTTCCTAAGGCAGGGATAAAGTGCCACTAAAGGTACTAAGTCATAAAGCTCTTTCCTTTCTCCCGCATACCTCCTTGGCTCAGCCTCATGTTCTTTGGACTCGCTTACAAACCGAGGATTTTGAGTCACCACCAGCAGAGGTTTACACCCAGTGAAGGCCCTTCTGAGTACCAGCGCTGTGTGATGGCTCCTTTGTGACCATGTAGGCTGCGCCCGTGAGGTTGGCCTTGGCTGCTGAGTATAACCCATTGGCTGTGACTGTATAAGATTACATTGTATTCCAACATAAGCGGTTGCTATTTTGTATGATAATTCTGATATTTCACCATTAAAGCAATGCTGCAGGGAGCAACGTGGATTATCCATACCAGAGCATTCCTGGAACTGTTTTGATGACTTGTGTTAGTTCAGAATCACTAGGTCTTTGCTAGCATTCTGCAGTAGGCAATGGCATTGCAGGCCAGCTCTCTCCCTAGCACAAGGCTGACCGCGTTGAAATTTACACAGGTGTTGAACAGATCTCCGCACCTGCAGTGTTGGAAAAGACTAGAGCAGTGCCCTCTTGTGCCTGACTGCCCTTCTTTCTGCCTCTTTGCTTTGTACATTATTAAATGTGCTCTCAAACCACTAGGACTCACAGCTGAAAATAAAGTAGGTTGGTGGACAGTCACAGACAGCACTGTCCACTCACCAGGCCCGGGTTGTTTCTCCTAAGCACTGTACCAGATGCCCTACTCCACCCATTAATAACTCTTGTCCTTTCCGAGTTGTTAGCTGTGTCATAAAATTTCTAGATTTCTGAGGGGTTTTGTAAATCTTAAAGTAGAAGATAAGAACTTTTGCTGCCAGTGTTTTGGCTTAGCTGGTAAAGCCGCCCCCCATGATACCAACATCCCATATGGACGCTGATTCAGATTCCCAGATCCACTTCCAATCCAGCTCTCTGCTAATGCACTTGGGAGGGCAGCACAAGATAGCCCCAGTGCTTGGGCTCCTGCACCCCACGTGGGAAAGCCAGAAGAGGCTCCTGGCCATTGTGGCCATCTGGGGATGTGAACTAGTGTATGGAAGACCTCTCTCTTTCTCTTTTCTCTTCTCTTTCTCTTTCTCTCCCTCTCTTTCTGTAACTGTGCCTTTTAAAATAAATAAAATGTTTTTTTTTTTTTTAAAAAGAACCTTTAACCATTCAAAGAAAGCCTCAAGTAGAAAGAAGAAGAATCTTGCAGACCCACAGTACTCACTGACCTAAAATCTTGCCTGAAATTCTTGTTGAAGTTTTGCTGATATTTATAATTTCTGATGATTATAATTTCTGATGATCATCAGAAATGACACATACTGACTTGTGTGAAGTGAGCTAGTAGATATTCTTGGCCTGTGTAAAAGTCACGTCTGCTAGTTTTACAAGATGTAACTGCTACGCTCCTGAGCTACTCGAGAGCTGTGGGTAGAGATGTTATTACTGGCAGAGTCGTCACACTGCACAGCCCCCATGGGCCTCGTTACGCCCTGTGACTGGCATTTCCAGGGCTAGTGCTGTGCACACTGGGGAGGCCTTACCCACAGGTGGTGTGGTGTCTGCACAATGTCTGCATGATGGTTCTCCCTCATTTGGATGGCTGGTAGGGTTCTGTTAGTACACAGCCCCTCAACTTGTGACTTTTCAAAATTGCTCAAGCACGCGTTTTGAGTCACCTCGGAGGGGAACAGTTGGGGCCCTGGGGGATTGATTGCCCACTGTTCTAGAGGACTAGAACAGACCTACCCTTGCCTCCTGGAACTTTCTCTGAGTTAGAAACCTCTTAGAGTTATTATAAATCCTTGAAATATTTTATTTCATGGTGTATCTTTAAGCAGAGGTATCTTAAATTAGTGCAGCAATCGTAGACTTATTTTTATTATATTTTTATTAAGTAGGAGGGAGGAAAGCATTGTTGGTCAGCGCACATGGTGCTTAACGTGGAATCTGGAGGTGGAGATGGTGTTTTCTTACTTCAGAGTTTGTGATTTCCAACTCTTGCCAAGGGTAAACACTAGAATTAGGTCTAGGCTGTGGTTCTAGCTGGTATGCCTCTGTTTCAAATTTCATCTCGCTTCTGCTTGGCATCAAGATTTCCAGCTTTCCAGGCTGGCCGCAAATTCAAATCAAGTGTCTAAACCAGTAGTTAGAGGAAAAGATCCCGCAGTAGTAATGGTACTGCTAAATGACCTAAATACCCATCCTACATTTTTTTTTCCTGTCAAGAAAAAAAAATGGACACCTGCCAAGGCTGTGTATGAGATTCTAAGCATGATTTCATCACACTCTGCCCTGAGCAGTAGGGAGAGGAGAGCCTGCCTTCAAAAATCTGTCTTGAGGTGTTCTGAATTTCAGGACCGCCTTAAGTTGGCTGGTGGATGCCCTCAATCTATGTTTCTTTGTAAAAATTTTCTGGTGTTATGGATGGAAGAAAATCATCACTGCTCCCATAAATTGTTTTTAGAAATTTATTTATTTGAAAGTCAGAGTTACAGAGAGAAGGAGAGGCAGAGAGAGAGAGAGAGAGAGAGAGCGAGTTTCCATCTGCTGGTTCCCTCCCCAATTGGCAGCAACGGCCAGAGCTAAGCCAATCTGAAGTCAGGAGCCAGGAGCTTCTTCCTGGTCTCCACGCAGATGCAGGGGCCCAAGGACCTGGGCCATCTTCCACTGCTTTCCCAGGCCACAGCAGAGAGCTGGATCAGAAGTGGAGCAGCCGGGGCTCGAACCAGCGCCCATATGGGATGCTGGCATTGCAGGTGGCAGCTTTACCTGCTACGCCACAGTGCCGGCCCCTGCTCCCATACTTTCAAGCGCTGCAGCCAAAGCATTTTTTTCAGTGCCTTACCCTCCACCTGTGCTTCATTAGAATTAAGCACAGAGTAAAGCATTAGTGACTGTGATCCTGCTGTGTGCCAAGGTTATGGGCGCCTGTCTTAGCCCCAGCAACGGGATCACCATGCACCTTCCACCAGGGAGGGATCCAGCTGCACGATTCAATCCTGAAGACAGACTCTCAGTGACCACTCCTGATCTCAATGCTCTTGGTCAAGGTTCCCAAGAAAGCAGAGACTGAGATTTAAAAAAAAAAAAAAAGTGCTAATAATTTATTAAGACGTGCAGTTTCAGGAAATCCAAGGTCAAGAAGAATGAGGTGGAGCAAGAGGAAGAGCCAACACAGAGGTGCACCACAGAGGTGTCCACGGCTTAGTATCTACATGGCTAATAATTCATTCCCTTGGGGTCATCTTGCAAGAGGCCATTTAAAGTGGGGGTGGGCATTTGACCCAGCAATGAAGACTCCAATTAGGATGACCACATCCCGCAGTAGAGTGCCTGGACTTAAGAATGACCTTCAATTCCTGAGAGCAGGAGTGCTTCGGTATACAATGACGTGATGAGCTCTTCCAGCCAGAAGACACTGTCTCACTGTTGGCACCTCTGCTGGGGCCGCTCCTGCAGTATTTCCTGGTGAAAGGACACATAAAGCGAGGGTACATACGCTGATTCGAGTAAGAGAGTGTGCGTTTCAGAACCTCAGCTGAGGACGCCCCGAAAATCATTGAGCGTGCAGAAACCAACAACTCCCTCATGTTAGTTGGATGCTAATTCAGTGTAAGCTGGCTGACTATGCGCTCAACTGTGAGAGAGAATATGACTTAGTAACGCTTCAAATGCTGCAAATTTGTCTTTGGAGACTCTTCCAAAAGGAAGGTGCGAACATAACTTTCTACCATTTTCTAGATTTCTTGCTTCACATCCTTCTGCAGACACTATTTTTTTTCTCTGTAAATGTGACTTTCATGCATGAGAGGACTTTAAAAGTTTGTGGGAAATGTTTATTATGAAAAAACCATGCATGGATTTCATTGTTTTTACAAAAAAAAAAAAGTCCTTTTAGTTCAATTTTTCACAGGCTTTTTGAAGCAGCTTCAGGTATTTTCAGAAGTGTTTTGTGCCATGCAGTGGTGCCACACCATCTTCTTCTTCTTTTTTTAAGATTTATTTGTTTATTTGAAAGTCAGAGTTACACACAGAGAGAAGGAGAGGCAGAGAGAGAGAGAGAGAGCGGTCTTCCATCTACTGGTTCACTCCCCAGTTGGCCACAATGGCCAGAGCTGTGCCGATCCAGAGCCAGGAGCTTTTTCTGGGTCTCCCACGTGGGTGCAGGGGCCCAAGCACTTGGGCCATCTTCCACTGCTTTCCCAGGCCATAGCAGAGAGCTGGATCAGAAGTGGAGCAGCCGGGGCTTGAACCAGCGCCCATATGGGATGCTGGCACTGCAGGCGGCAGCTTAACTCGCTATGCCACAGTGCCTTCCCCACACCATTTTCTTTTGAATGACTTGCAGCAAACATATTTGGGGGAAGGATTGTGAAAAATATCCTCTTGGGTAAATACGAACTGGGAAGATTTAGAGAGAGAAGTAATAAAGCAGATGTTACTGTTGAATGAGTGAACTATCGTGATATCTTATTTTTAAAAAATGGGTAATGCTTAATAGGTTTGCTTTTATAGATCATGGCTACTGCACCTGCTGTGGCAGGTGAAAAGTCAAGCTCCAGTGACAGTGACAGTGACACTGAAAATGATAGCTCTGAAGCCAGTGAGACCACGGAGAGCGTGTCCTCTTTTGATCAATTTGAAGAAGAAGATGACCTGAGCGCAGAAGGCATCGTAGAAGAGCCAACTTCCAGGCAACTGCAGTTTGAAATCAATGAAGAGACACCTCCAGGAGCTGAAGCTACAGTTGAGAACAGCTGTCAGTTGGGAGAATCAGGTGAGGGATTACCCATGCATGTGAGTTTCTTTCATGCTTCTCCTCTTTGGGAAAAGATTTATTATTTATTATTTCCAAGGTAGAATGACACAACAGAGAAGAAGAGATACAGAGGGTGGAAGATGGGGAAAAGGAGAGGGGAGAGAGAGAGATTGATCAATCTTTCTTTCGCTAGTTCACTCCCCAAATGGCCTCAATAGGCAAGACTAAGCCAGGAGTCAGGAACTCCCTCTGGGTCTCCCACATGGGTGCAGGGGGCCTAAGCACTTGGACCACCCTCTGCTGCTTTCCCAGGAGCATTGTCAGGGAGCTGGATGGGAAGTGGAGCAGCCGGGACTCGAACTGATGCCTAGATGGCATGCTAGTGCTGCAGGCTGGGACTTTAGCCCACTGCGACACAGCGCCGCACCGTGGCAGAACTTTTGAAGGTAGATGTAGATATTTAGAAATTTATATAACTGTTTATTTAACATCTCTCTCTCTGTGTGTGTGTCTCTCCATATAAAATATTCACATGAATTAACTTTGGAAGTGGCACATTGCTCAAGTTTTGTTTACATTTGTATTTTGCAGATTTCTTAAAGATTTATGTATATCATAAAATTCATTTGTGACTGAGAATTTATGAAAAAGCTAATTTCAAAATTGTACGATTTGGCTGCCCTGGCCCACAATCATTCTGTTTAATGAGTGGGGTAGGCAGGCTGTCATTATGGAGACAGCGATGTGTCTTTCACATTCTTAGGAACGTTCCATTGATGTGTTTGCAGCTTTGCATAAAATACAAATATAGTCAAAGTTATCAGCAGAAGTTGTCTTTTAAAACTGAATATGAGAGGGTGGTGTTGTGTCACAGCAGGTTAAGCTGCTGCCTGCAATGCCAGCATCCCCTGTGAGCACCAGTTCGAGTCCTGGCTGCTCCACTTCCAATCCAGCTCCCTGCAAACGTGCCCGGGAAAGCAATGGAAGATGGCCCAGATGTTTGGGCCCCTGCTATCATGTGGGAGACCTAAGCAGAGTTCTGGGCTCCTGGGTCGATCTCTCCCTCCCTTTCTGTTGCTCTGCCTTACAAATAAATCTTTAAAAAAATGAATATTAAACCTCTGTTATTTATTTTGAAAGGATTAACTGAATGTGGGGAAATTCTAAAGAAACTCTCCAGGTACCTTTGGGCCCACCTGTCAAAATCCGAGTAAGTATAACACAAATAGTTCAAAGTCACACATCACGACATGTTATTTCCCTCTGCATGGCATATTTTTTTTTAAATTTTCTTCCTGCTAAGTTGTTTTGTATAACCTTCCAATGGGGTAAAAGTTAATGTTATTAAAAATAGAGAAATCTTTCCTTGGGAAATGTTATGGTCTAAGTCATTCGGTAGCCAGGAGTAAGTTATTGAAGAATTTGAAGAGGGGTATAAGCGGAGAAAAGACTCAATTTTCTTTTAATACTGCACAATAATAAAGTAGCTGTTTAACTAACATTGTATACCATTTAAAACATTGCGTGAGTTTCATGAAACTGACTTTGGCACAAGTTGACCAACGGTGAAACATTCTATAATATCAGCAACGATGACTGCACCACGCCAGTGTGTTGTGTTGTTTTCCTGACAACCATTTGTGTGTGCTTGCTAATGTGCTAGGGACTTTGCACACCACAGTGAAGAGAGTAAAAATGTTCCTGCCACTGGTGGTTTATTGAGTCTAATCTTGGCATTTGGTGCCTCATTCCAATTTTCTCAATTAATTTACAATAGAATAAGTTTAGAATCAAAATGGAATTTATAATACTACAATACCAATTGTATTCAACTACAAAGTAAAATAAAAACTCAAAACATTCTTTATAACAAGCATATTTTAAGTATAGATTATGGCCTAAGCATATTTTGGTTCTAACCACTCATGTTTATCTCATTAATCCTCACAGCAATTGTTTGAAGGATTAGCTGTTCTGAATTCTTTTTTTTTTTTTTTTGCAAGTCAAGAAACTGTAGCACAGGATAGACAAGCAATTTGTCTAAAGTCACGTAGGAGCAGGCTTAGAATCCAGAGCATTTGGTCTTAGCCAAAACATTATGTGTTGAAATTTGCGGAAAGTGAATTCTGAAAGAATACATAGAGTTAACATTTTCCTACTGTGTTTGAGTTTTTAGTTTGAGAGGAGCAGGATGGAAAAGAGAGGGAGAGAGGGAGAGAAGGAGAGAGGGAGGGGGAAGGGGAGAGAGAGAGAGTTAGTTTCCACCTGCTGGTTCAGTCTTCAAATGCCTGGGACTGCCGGGCTGGGCTTGGTCAATGCTGGGAGCTGGGAACTTAGTGTGGGTCTCCCGTGTGGGTGGCAGGGAGCCAGCTACTTGAGCCATCACCACTGCCTCCCAGGGTGTGCTTTAGCAGGAAGCTGGAATTGGTAGCTGAAACCAGGACTAAAATCCAGGCACTCGCATGTAGGTTATAGGCATCCTAACAGGCCAAATGCTTTCCTTTAATTAAAAGGAATTATATCTAGTAACAACCCACGTCCTAGCAGTTCTTGTTTTTATACACCACCAGATGTAGCTGGAATAACTTCTGATACCTGCTAAGGCCTGTGTAGCTCTATGATGACTTTGGAAACCGCTTGGTGCTACCCTATAACTTGCAACTCAGTAATTCCATCTGCCTGAGTTCAGTCAAGTGGGCATTGAGGAAACCTGTGTTTCAGGAAGCTAAGAGAATAGTCCTTGCAGCACAGTTGGCAGTATCAAAAAATGCATAGAAACAAGTCAGATGCCCATGGGAAGGAGGACACAGAATCAGTTATGATGTACACATCACAGTGCAGTAGTTCAAGCATAGCATCCTATAACCACATGCGGGATTTTAATCGTAATTAGTACTTGAGTTAAACAAAGAAATTTCAGAAAAGGCGTGGGATGCCTTTCTGATAAAAATTACAAATTAAGCATAATATACATCATAAGAACTTAAAAAGTGAAGTGAGACTGAGTAAAATTGAATTCAAGGCAGTGGCTGCCTCTGAGGGGAGAGGCTGGGTAATGAGCTTTGGAAACGACTCACTGGGAAGATATAAGTTATGAAAAATCTTGGGCACCGGGTTCTAGTCTCGATTGCCCCTCTTCCAGTCCAGCTCTCTGCTGTAGCCCGGGAGTGCAGTGGAGGATGGCCCAAGTGCTTGGGCCCTGCACCCCATGGGAGACCAGGAAGAAGCACCTGGCTCCTGGCTTCGGATCAGCGCAGCACCGGCCGTAGTGGCCATTTGGGGAGTGAACCAATGGAAGGAGGACCTTTCTCTTTGTCTCTCTCTCTCTCACTAACTCTACCTGTCAAAAAAAATTAAAAAAAAAAAAAGAAAATTTTTTTTGTTGCTGGGTTGAGTGAAGACGTCACAGATGTTGATTGTACATTAGCTTAAAAAGCAAATAACTGAACTGAATAAATAAACAGCATATAACTGAACAAGGATAATGACTGATTTAGTGTTTCACATTTGAAGTACATAACAGTAAGCCTGTCAATCTAAAATGTATGTGGAGATGAATTTTTTGCATAAATTTAAGCATACGCGTACACTGAAGTGAGTTGCAGTTCCACTCTTAGGATGTCAGGCTCCAACCAGGGGCTTATTCTATTATCAAAATCATGGCAATGCCCTGGAAAACTGTTAAAGATAACAGAAATTTGTGCTTAGTTTTTTCTTTAAATTTCTTAGACTGGAAGAAGAGTTGCCCACCCAATCAAACTGTACGTTTTCTCTGAGGCGGCTGCTGCTCTGTCCACAGTCTCCGCCTGTTCTGTATTTTATTCAGGAGGGTCAGCTTGCTGAAAGACTTCGTTGAATCTGAATTTTTTTTGATTGATGGAGATTCCTTACTCCTCACTTGTGCTCTCCATGTGAACCTCAAGATGGGGCAAACCCTCCACTTCTTCTACATTATGGAGCGGTTTCTGCACGACTTCATTCAAAAGGAAGCCAGATTTGTAATCGTCTTTTTTAAGGTAACAGATATTTCGTTCTCCGTTCTCATCTTGGAAAACAGAGTCAATCATTTCGAAACGTGGCCCATCATTACTTAACTATTAGCTATATTGCTTCTTCAGTCTGTAACTAGAGGCTCTGCTGAAAGGGCTAATAGTAAATGTTGTACAGAGGAGAATGGCCACCGAGTGTGTTCTTATCTACTTACACTTGTAGAGGCTGTGTAGAACATGTTTAATCATCTTAGCTCTTTCTATCATGTTAGCACAGTAACTCCCATAAGCTTCACAAAAATAACTAGACACTCATTTTTTATCTCTAATACTAACACTTGTTTCCTTTTTTTTTACAGGATGCAGAAAATATATATTTTAACTGCCCTCATTTTCTGGCCCTTCGTACTGCCCTGATTCAACATTTAGAATACAATACTGATGTCACTGTTCATACTGAGTTTTCCAATTGTTTGTCTCCAGAATGGAACACATTTCTTGAGGAATGCTACCCGCATTTCTTGGTCATCTCAGATGAAGGAATAACCGCTCGACAAACAGATTTTTTAAACATTTTTATCATTCATGCTCTTCAGAAGAAAATCAATATAGTACAGCCCTTGGGGCTAGAGTCGGATGTCCTTAGAATTTATGGATACCATACCTCAAGTCGCTTTGAGCACAGACAATTCTTTGAAATGGTAAGTCAGGTTGAACTGCCTAAGAAGAAGTGAGCCGTGTAAATGTGGAAGAAACAACCCTGATAATGTGAGTCCTTGTTCAAGAGGTTGGGCCTAGGAAGGCTCTGAAGGAATCTTTTAACGTGGAAAGCAGGAAGGTTTTGCTCTGGCTTTACAAGTCAGGTTAGTAGAAGTGAGTTCTGAGTTTTGGCAAAGAGAGAAATTCTTGTTGGGGATGAAGCCTTTGGGTGATTCGGTGAGATGAGGAAGAAGGGTGTGGGCCAAGTTCAAGGGCAAGAGGCAATGGAGGCCAGCGCCACAGCTCACTAGGCTAATCCTCCGCCTGTGGCGCCGGCACCCCAGGTTCTAGTCCGGTCAGGGCCCCGCATTCTGTCCCGATTGCCCCTCTTCCGGGCCAGCTCTCTGCTGTGGCCTGGAGTGCAGTGGAGGATGGCTCAAGTGCTTGGGCCCTGCACCGGCACGGGAGACCAGGAGAAGCACCTGGCTCCTGGCTTTGGATCAGTGCGGTGCGCCGGCCGCAGTGGCCATTGTGGGGTGAACCAATGGAAAAGGAAGACCTTTCTCTCTGTCTCTCTCTCTCTCACTGACAGTGGACAGTGAGAGAGAGAGAGAAAAAAAAAAAAGAAAGAGGAAATGGAGGGGAGGAACCCAGAGAAACCAGACATGAGAGCACCAAGGTGGGAAATTCTGTTTCTTCTGCATAAATTATACAAATATGTGTGCACGTGACAGCTCATAGGGACACACACTCAGACGTGTACTTGTTTGAATATGTATTACCTAGGAGAGTTCTTCAAAATGTTCGTGGAAAATGGAATTAAAGATGCTAAGTTTGGTGCAAAAAATCGAACATGCATAGTTTTTTTAATAATTTTTTTGTTTTTGTAATATGGACAAATTTATCTGTACAGTTTTAGAGTACAGTGATACTTCCCACCCTCCCCTCCCTCGTGCCCATGCTCCCACACCCCCCCTTCCTTTGTTATTTTTTTTCTTTTAAAGATTTTTATTTATTTATTTGACAGAGTCACAAAGAGCAGACAGAGAGGGAGAAACAGAGGGAAAGATCTTCCATCCACCAGTTCTCTCTCCAATTGGCTGCAGCGGCTGGAGCTGAGCTGATCTGAAGCTAGAATGCAATCCAGATCTCCCACATGGGAGGCGGGAGCCCAGTTCCCTGAGCTGTCGCTGGTTTCCCAGGGTGTGCATTAGCAGGAAGCTGGAGTTAGGAACTGGAGCTGGGAATCAGATCCAAGCATTCCCGTGTGGGATGTGGGTGTCAGTCTCAAGGCTCAGTGCTCATACCATTTGGTACTTTTTAAATAGTTGCTTTTATGGAACTAGGTAGAAGTGTTTTTTGTTGTTGTTAGATTGCAATGTCCTCAGCATTAGTTCAAGAAGACATAATGGAAGTTTATTTGATTTGAATTGATGGCTTTCTTTTTGTTTTCCTGTAGCCAAATAAACATGACTTTCCACCTTGTATTTAGTTTAAGTAGAGGTTTGTGATGTGTACACATACGTGTTTTTTTTTTTTTTTTTGTATCTGTGTGTGTAGCATGAGAAACAGCTGCGACATGCCTTACATGCCCATGTGGTTTTCCAAAAGTCACAGGAAGCAAGAATATCTGTGTGTGGTCATTTGAAATTAAATGTGGAAGACCTGCAGAAGAGGTAATGACTATGCTCCTAAAACTAAAGTTCAGCATGTAGGAAATATACCTTTGATGGCTATTGCTTCTAGCAAACAGGCCTGTCCTACGCTCACCTTCACGCCCCCTGACTCCCTAGCCTTCCATCTCTGGGAAGTGTTCTCTTGCAAGCCGCATTCCTCTGAGGCAGAAAGGGTCTTGCTAAATTGTTATCAAAACATCCTGAAGTTGGTTAAAAATATTTTCTACAAAATACTTTGTATGCAATGTGTGGTGATACTGGCCAGAGGCCAGTGCTGTGATAACGTTAACGATCCCAAGGCTTACTCTTGTGATGGGTGAGGTGGCTCTTGTGGGTGCTGGCTTCCTGGAAGATGGGAATTGTTCAGATCTTGAAAGGAAAGGGATCTTTGAGGTTAGCAAATGCAAGGAAGCCATTGGCCTTTGGGAACGTCTCCGGAAGTTAACCTAAGCCAGTGGTTACTCTGTACTTCTGATTTCCTGAATCATGCCATCTCATGTGGTTCCACAATCCATAGAACAGTGTTTGTGGAAGACTAGGCATGACGTGGTGATGAGACGGGGTTCACCTGACTGTGGAGTCAGTACACATATGAGCATCCAGATATTTAGTGTCCCCTATTCTAAGGTGAACTAAAAGTCCCCACCTCATTGGATTCTTCTGTCCATTCTCCCTGCATTCGCTCTCTCACTTAACCATACAGCAATATTTGTGACACGGATGCATCGTTCCACATGTCGTGCTAGGTGCTGGACTTACAGTGGTGGACAAGACCAAAAGGGGTCTTGTTTTCATAGGAATTTTAACCTATGTGAGCCAAGTAACCAACTGTAACGTTGCACGGAGAAAGATGCAGGTGATTCCTTGAGCAGCTGTGAGAAGGGGAGGGACTCTTAGAGCTGCAGCGGAGCATTCACTGTGGCTCTAGCTATGGTTTTCATTCGTGTCCTCACTCTCATTCCTGTTTTACATAGGTGGGGTTTTTTAACAGCCTGTGCTCAAGCGTTACCCTGTCCTTCTCTCCTTCCCAAACTTGTAGCCCTTCCTGGGGCTCAGTGGCCCTCCCCTGCTCCTTAGGCCCCCAGGAGCACACAGAGTAGAAATAGGGCTGCCGATTTCATCCTCTGAGTTCCTCTGATTTCAAAGGGCAGCTATGTGTGCTGATGCTCTCCTGCTCGGAACTCCCTGGGGGTGCTCTTTTCAGTCTTAGTGTAAAGCCCCTGTGAGACCCGACATAGCATGTAGACACTGAACTGACGTCTTTAAGTGAAAGAATTGAGACCAGGTGACTTGTTCAATGACTGTTTCAAGCTTTTAGGAGGTGTTGCGTCTCCTGGTTCTAAATCCTGATGCCTCACCACGGACTCAGATAAACATCTTGTCTCCATCGCCCCCGTCTGCTCCTGTCTGCATCTCTTGCTGAGCGCTGTGATTTATCGCGCCTTTGCAACTTTCCCCCAAAATACAAGGGTTCTCGTGATCACGCCTTTGGTAGCAGTCGGTTCGTATCAGTTTATGGGAGTAGAGCTGTTGATCGTTAGCAGTGTGTATGCCATGCATCTCAGTGTCTTCACTGGCCCCTGGGAAGTGTCTGGGCTGACAACACTGAAGAATCCACAGGTTAATCACACAGAGACCTTGGATTTGCCATGGCCTGTAGATCAGCAGGAGAAAGTTGTCATATTAAAATGTCACTTAGGGCCTTATTAAATACCGGCTCAGCATACATTTTCCAAGTTCCGCAGGCCTATCTTATATGTTTTTCTTTAAGTTTTTGAAAGATAAAATTTCAGTATTTTTCTAGAATTAATTACTATGTCAGCTTTGAATCTTGTTTCTTGGAATCACTGTTTTTTTTTTTGTTTTTTTTTGACAAAGTGTTTCTATTTCAGGTGCATCAAACCCTGGTCCTTGCTTCAGGACCTGTGGCCACAAGGAGCTGAAATCCGAGGTGTTGTCTGCTCCGTTTCATGTTCGGTGGCACTAAAGCTCTACAAAAAAATGTTACTAGATTTAGAAGACCGTGAAAACCCAAACACATACACAGAAAACTGTGATACACAGGTGAGGACTCCTTCAAAACCATGAGCCCGTCTCATGCACTTTTGATGATGTGACAGTGCTTGTGGGGTGGTGCCCTATGCATAAGCTCAAGGTCAAACAGAAAATACGGACGTGTGGATCACATGTTTGCTGGCTAAGCATGGAGATATCATATGATCCTCATTCTTTATGAAAGCTGGCAAGATTCTTTATAAGATAGTTGAGATGAATCTGTCACCTCTTTCATCTCTGATCACAGGACAAATATCTTTTGTCCCCTGGCTCAGAGCTGGTCATCATGCTGCTTGCAATCTCCTGGGCCAGTTTCAATGCATACGTGGTGACATTGCACAGAAGTTAGCATTGTCAAAGCCGATAGGCAGTGGGACCTGACGATGAGCCCACTGTCCACTTTGTGGCTCAGCATCATGTTTCTGTCATGATAAGGTTTGCTCCTATTTGTAACAGTAGTGAGCTAGTAGAGTCTGAATTACTTGTCAATCCTTGCTGTAGTGGGCATGCAGTCACCAACTTTTTACTGTCTTGGTGGTCTACTACATGGTAAGTAAAAGTCAAGCAGCTACTCGGGGGCAGAGCTGGGATGCAACCCATTTTTTTTCCTTTTCTGTTCTGCTACGTTGCTTTACCATATAGATCACAGCCATGCTAAGCCCTGGTTCTACATAGGAAACAGGTGTGACAGGAAGCAGCTTTTCTGCAACCCCTGGTACTTCTGCTCTTGAGGACATGAATAACTGGCTGCTGGACATGTCCTTAAACAGAGGCCATCCCCTACCATTTTATCAAATGCAAGGTTTAGATACAGTGAATTTCGGAACTCCATGTATTAGGCAAAGCTTCACTCCTAGGCAACACAGCTAGTTGTGTGGTTTTTCATCCATCACATGCCTTGTAGATTTTTCTAGAGATAAAATTACCCCCAAAAGAATTAAATCGTCACATGGGAGAATTTTGGGTAAGGTGCCTTAAATATTGTTACTGCATGTCTGAATTTTTTTCAAGAAAATTTGACTTCTTGTTTGTATTTTTCTCTTTAAAATTTTTTTCTTTCTTTGTTTTATTTATTTGAAAGGGAGAGGCAGAGACTGAGAGAGAGAACATGAGCAAGTGCAAGCGAGCCCATCTTGCCAATTTAATTTCTCAAATGCCCACCACAGCAGGACTGGGCCAGGCTGAAGCCAGGGCTCTGATCTCAGTGTGGTTCTCCCAGCTGAATGGCAGTCATCACCTGGGGTCTTAACGTTAGGAGGTTGGGTGTTAGCAGGAAGTTGGTCTTGGAAGCAAAGCTGGGAACTCCATCCTAGCACCTGTTACGGGATGTAGGTGTCCAAGCAGACTCAACCCGTGCACCAAAGGCCCACCTTTGTATCTGAATTTTTTATGTTGCCTGTGCAAGTGGACATTTTAAAAATTCATGTTTTTCCAGGATTTGAAGGAGGCACCCACACTCAGTGAAGCAGCAGACCTGTGCCGAATGTTACTGTCTCAGTGTGATTTTCCTTCAGCATTTACACTCTGATCCAAAGAGCTAAGAGTAGAATCATTACTCATAAATGGGATTGCAACACTTTCTCCATTCTAAGAATGGTAAGTGAACCACCTGGAGATTCATAAGCGCTCAAAATTCAATAAGGCAAAACTTGGACGGTGCAATCCTGTGTCTCTACTGATGCTGTTTTGCTTTCTATAGTCATCTTAAAAGGTTCTTTGTTTCCTGTATCCATCTTCAACATGGCTACCAACAAACAATGCATGTTTCCTTGAAAAACTGAGTCCTAGATAAAAGCACTCCATACAAAAATGTAGTCCTCCCTAGTATAAAACAACCCCCACACTGAAGAGTTCATTGAGAAAACAACTCTAATGAGTATATATAATAGTGAAGTAATGAATAAAGAACTTACATTCATTGCGTTTCACACTTCGTAGCCAGTTGAAACAGAGACGACAGGAATACAAAAGTCCTTTGTAAGTTCTTAGGAAATTTAGGAAAATTTGAAAACCTTGGTTTTTTGTACTTAGCACAGTTTGATGCTTTTATGTAGTTAGTTGTGATTCTCACTTCTTTTTTTTATTTTTATTTTTTATTTTTTATTTTTATTTTTTGACAGGCAGAGTGGACAGTGAGAGAGAGAGACAGAGAGAAAGGTCTTCCTTTGCCGTTGGTTCACCCTCCAATGGCCGCCGTGGCTGGCACGCTGCGGCCGGCGCACCGCGCTGATCCAAAGGCAGGAGCCAGGTGCTTCTCCTGGTCTCCCATGGGGTGCAGGGCCCAAGCACTGGGCCATCCTCCACTGTACTCCCTGGCCACAGCAGAGAGCTGGCCTGGAAGAGGAGCAACGGGACAGAATCCGGCACCCCGACCGGGACTAGAACCCGGTGTTCCAGCGCCGCTAGGCAGAGGATTAGCCTAGTGAGCCGCGGCGCTGGCCGATCTCACTTCTTTTTAAGATTTATTTTATTTCTTTGAAAGACAGAATTACAGAGGAGACGTAGAGACACAGAGAGAGGTCTTCTATCACTGGTCACTCCCCAAATGGCCGCAGGAGAGGAGAGAGAGAGAGAGAGAGAGATCTTTCTTCCACAGGCTCACTCCCAAATGGTTACAATTGGTGGGGGCTGGCCCGACTGAAGCCAGGAGCTTCTTCTGGGTCTCCCATGTGGGTTCAAGGGCCAAAACTTGGGCCATCTTCTACTGCTTTCCCAGGCCATAACAAAGAGCTGGATCGGAAGAGCAGCAACCGGGACCTGCGAAACAGGTGCCCATATGGGATGCGGTGCTTCAAGCCAGGGCGTTAACCCACTGCGCCACAGTTGTGTCGGCCCTTGAGCCATCTTCCACTGCTTTCCCAGGTGCATCCGCAGGGAAATGGATTGGGAAGAAAGAGGTCTGAGACCTTCAACCAGCACCCATATGGGATGCCTAGTAAGGGCCCCATA